GGCAATGAGCAGGGCAAGAATGACAGGAGCAGGAAATGAGCATGACAAGGCAGACAGAAGCAGGATCATAACAGAATTAGCAAAAAAGAAGCTAAAATTAGCAAAAGGAAGTTAAAAAGAGCAAAATCAGATCAGAAGGTGTAAGGTGCTGTAAAGATTTAGAAACATTTTGAAGGATTTTAAGGATGTTAAACAAAGCTCCAATCATTTTCAATGGGAAAATATAGCAGAAAAAGTGAAATAGAAAAAAAAATAAAAATAGCTGAAATACCAAAAGTCATAGCCAGAACATCCTGAAGGAGCTGAACGTTTTAATATATGAATTGTTGAAATAACACAAAAATTGCAGTATTAGAGACGTGCCAAAAAACGTAGTAAAAAATAAATAAATAAACAAACAGTGTGAATGGTCAAAAGCGTTCACACAGTAATATTGTAAACACTGCATGGTTTCTTTCATTGTGCTTGGATTCTGCATTTGCTGATTTTTTTCCCCCACAGCATCATACTGTTGGAGGATTCCTGTGCGACTGTGGACAATACCAGCAGAGTGTCGCCTTCAGAGAGGTCAGCGGACTCTGAGCAGGTGGCGGGAAGCGGGGAAGGGTAACACCAGCACCCTCGGGGCCAGCAGTTCATCATCACCTGGCAGGAGCAACAGAGTGAGTCGACAACACGAAGGGCTCAAGACTCTAAAGAATACTGAATAGAGCCTGAATCAAAAACATAATGACACTACATCATCGGCAGAGACTTGGCTCAACCTTTAGAAAAAAAATAATAAATAAAAGACTATAGATTGGAAACATTTAGAAATAACCAAACCATTTTAGGTGATTCTGCACAGACAAACTTGGTCTCTGACTTTAAATGAAGGTGAAACAGATGCACCGAGGTTATGTAACGATGTCGCACTGATGCTTGCACAGTCACTACTAGTCCTCAACCTTCAGATGACTTTGCAATTTATTCAGTTGAGTTAAAAAAAAATCACACACTGTAAATAAGAAATGGAAATGGTTCCATCAGGCACTGCTTTATGAGCTGCTGATCTAATCCTGCAACTTCCAGAGCACTGATGAAGATTATAATATCCAAT